CTATTATATATATATTTAAAGAATTTAAATATTACTACTTAGGGATAATATATAAGATTAAGATATATATAGATTATAAGAATATTTAGTACTTTACTATAATTTAATAACTAAATAGAAGATAAATATATTATACTAAATACTTATTCTAGTTTAACTATAAAATTATATATTAAAAAGGATTAGAAAATAGAAGAGCTAATACTCTTAGTTAGAAATCTAAATATAAGAAAGTAGTTCTAAAGATAAATAGATAGCTATTCTTAACTAATAATAAAGAATACTTAGTATAGAAAACCCTAGAAGCTATACTTAAGGAAATAGTATATACTAAGATCTAGATAGAGACTATTTCTAGCTTAGAAAATCTATAATAAGAAGCTAGAATAGTACTTATTAAGAAAATCTATAAATATCTACTCTTAGAATACTAAGGAGTTAAAAAAATATTTAATAGGATTAAATAAAAATATAATTATCTAGATCTAAGAAAAAATATATAGACTATAGTTTTAGAATATAATACTTATATAAGAATTAAGTCTATATAATATAAACCCTATAGAGAACTTAAACTAGTTTTAGTACTAAAATAACCCTAATAATTAGTATCCTTTAATTATATTATTAAACTATTATTATTAAGAGAATCTATAACTAAAATAGAATATAATAGTATTCTAATAGTTATTAATAGACTTATAAAGTATAGATACTTTATTCTATATAAGGAAGTAAGCTTTATAGAAGATCTTATATATTAGTTTTTATAATATATAATTAGTTACTATAAACTACTTAATAAAATTATATTAAATAGAGGAATAATATTTATCTCTAAGTTTTAGTAATTACTTATAGTATAAATAGATACTAAGTATAAGCTTTTAATAGCTTACTACCTATAAAGTAATAGTTAAATAGAATAATTAAATTAAACTTTAAAATAATATTTATAAGTATATATTAACTATAAGTAAAATAATTAGATATAACTATTACTAATAGTATAGATTACTTATAATAGTTTAGTATAAGAATCTATCTAGTTTATATCTATATATATAAACTATAGTTATAAACTATAATTTCAGAATTAATTAGAATATAATAGACTAGATATACTAGCTGCTATACTTATAAAAGAAATACTATATTTATTATATATAGAAATAAAAATAGAACTTAAATTTATCTAATAAAAAATAAAAAAATATTATAATAAAAATAGATTAGAAAAACTAATTCTAAAGGAGGAAGATAAGATCTATCTACTTTATAAAAATATTATAATAATAAAATTAAGTAATAAATTAAACTATAAAAAACTTAGACTATTTAAGATTCTTAAGAAAAAATCAGATATTAACTATAAACTCTTACTATCAGATATAATATATATCTATCTAGTCTTTTATATCTTATTACTTAAAAAAGTATTAAAAAATATACTAGACTAGGATTATCTAATTAAGATCTATAAAGAAGAATTTAAACTAGAAAAAATTCTAAAGAAGAAAGTTAGAAATAGATAAACTTTCTACTTAGTAAAATAAAAGGGATATACTAATAAAAATAATATTTAGAAACCTATTAAATATTTAAAGAATTATTAATAGCTTATTTAATAGTATTACTAGAACTAGAAATACCTATTCTAATAAACTAAGAAGAAGATAATTCTATATCCTCCTAAAGAAATACTAGATTAATCTTAATCTCTAAGAATACAGGCTTGGATAAAGATATAACTAGAAATAAGATCTGCTTTTAAACTATCTCTTCTGCTTTCTTTTACTTAATATACTTTAGTTCTTCTATACTATTAATACTATAAGATATTATTTATATTATCTTATCTAATTATAATTTCTTTTATTAATAAAGATATTAGATTTTTATATCTATATAATAATACTCTTTCTCTATTATCTCCAGCTCGGACTTTAACTTACTATACTAATTAGTAATATATCTCAGCTGTTCTAATATAAAGCCCTGAGTATTATAATATAACTGATTATTTTTAATATAGTAAAAATAATAAGATAAAGAACCCTCTGATCTAAAGTATTTATAACTATAGGATTTATAATAACTATACTCTAATTATATTACTAAAGGATTTAATAAGATAGTATTAATAAGAGTATTATACTAAAGGGTCTTTTTATAGGAAGTTTTCTATATATAGTTAGATATTATTATAGACTATAAGGGGAATATAGAATTAAATTAGAAAAGACTTACTAATAAACTATAGAATATAGTCTTAAGGGTATAACTAATAGAGAGAGGATCTTATATTATAAATTATATTATTATATATTAAAGTTATATAGATTACCCTACTTTTTTCTAATTAATTACTAATAGATTATTAGAATCTTATAATAATCCTAATAATCCAGAATAATAGATTATTACTAAGTATTAATAATCCCTTAGTATATATATATATTTATTTTACTAGATAGAATACTCTCTTAGATAGTTATTAATATAATTATCTATATATCTATTATTACTAGCTTTATAATACTTATATATTAATAGTAACTTATATTATATAGCCTAAAGATAATCTGATTATACTACTTAGAATAATACTCTAATTAGTTTAAACCCCGACCTACCCTAGACCCTGTCCAGTATAAGTTATCTAACTGTTATACTAAGCTTTTATCTAATCTATCTCTAAACCTTAATATTAGTCTATATATTCTATTAAAGAATATAATCTATAGTATAATAAAGAAATTAAAGAAGAGATTATAGATTCTAATAATAGTTTCTATTATTTAAACTAGCTAGCTAAATAATATAGAATTTATAATTTAATCTAAATCTAATATAAGTAATTAGAAGCTTAAAAAAATTATTAAAATAATTAGTATACTAAAGACTAAAGATTTTTTAGAGTTTAGCTTTAAATAGATATTTAATCTTCTTAAACTAGAAAGTAAGATTCTAAATAGAAATAACTATTTTAAAGAGTAATATTTTAAAAATATTAATATCCAGATCTAATATAGCTACTAGCTATCTTTCCTTAGAATAAAGTATAACTTATTATAGAATAGCAATTATAACTACTGCTATCTCTAGCTGGAAGGCTGAGAAATCAGCTTTATAAAGACAGCTACTAAGGTTATATATAACTGGGGAGGGGAGGAGGAAGGAAGGAAGGAAGGGAGATAGATAGCTAGGCCAGTCAAATACAAGCCCGCTGTCTCTCTCAAATACACGAAGATACACACATACACCTGTCCTCGTAGCCCCCCCCCCGTTCCCCCAAGACAACAAGCACCTCGTGCACGAGGAACAAACAAAATAATAGACAAAAACCAAAAGACAGCATCAGGACGAGCTTCATTTGCAGCGACTGAATGCGAGCTTGAAGAGCGTGTTAACCACGGAAACAGCCAAGCAACGCCAAGATCGGTTGATCTTAATGAGCTCTGGTGGTTTGCTCAACTGGCTGCGTCATTGGCACCATTGTGATACTGCATCTTTTGCTGGAAAGTCATGAGACTCTTGGTAAAACAGTCTTTCTGAGCTCATTATAATCATGCGAATTGCTCTGAAGGCTGATCCCAATTCGGACGAGGACTGAGAACCGCTGGTTCTAACATTACAGAATTACCTAAGAACCAACAGTTAGTTGCATTCTTCTCACCTTAGTGGGGTCGTTCATTTCTGTTTTACACTTTGTAAAACAAGGCTCACATCGCCGTGCTTGGGATACGTGCATAGAGCGGCGAAGGTCACCGAGCGAGTTGTATTCCTTTATGGAAGTGGGACGTTTGTAAACAAAAATTGAGATGAATTCTTTGATTTCTTAAAATCACTATCCTTCCTACATACTATCGATTCCACTCACTCGTTGTTGTCTCAATCCTTATTAATATCTTCTCTATTTTCTGCCTCGAGATTCTGGCATCAAGGCTAAATACGGATCTCTCTTGTAAAATGACACATTGTTTTGCTTGGTATAGGCGTGCTTAAGCCTCTCAAAATAAACTACAGCCGGATGCTTGGTGTTCTTCCAAAATTTTCAACTTAACATATGAAATAGGAAATATCTCAAAGAGCAGGAAAGAGATCAATAGCGTCTTTCCGAGTGCCTATGAAAGCAGTAACAGCGCTTCGAAGAGTAATGATAACGTGAGAAAGCCGAACATCGAACGAGCACATCCTCAAGGAGAATAATAAACTAGTATCCTGAAATGTGGTGCTTCCTAACTTGTAATCGACATTCGTCTCTCCCCTTGGTTCCGTCGATAATGCATTCATGTACGGTATTGAGGGACAAAGCAACTTTCATTTAGTTTTCGTTCTCCCTGTTTTTTTTTTTTTTTTTTTTAAATCTGAGCAAACTGGCATTCAGCGCCTTTCACTAAACTTTCAGTCTAGTGATACTAACTTCATTCCGGAAACAGGTGAGCTAGAAAACGCAACGAAGCTATATGCCCTCAAAGTTGGGAGCATGTCCATTTTGTGTTGTATTTTGCTCAAGAAACACTGGCACGGGGGTTTTTTCCCCCTCTCGTCATGTACCTGTTACCAGTCCTGGAGGTAATTTTCCAAGACTCACCTCAACGAACAACGCTGCGATGTAATTGTTTACATATTTTTAAGCTTTCGGCCTATTTGTGAAGAGCAGGAGATGTCTTTTGCCGGCATTCCCTCTTAAGAGAACTGTCATCGCCTTCGAATCTAATCACAGGATCATTCTAACATTTAGACCGACGCCTTTGCAGGTGAGCTGAAATACGATAATCATGCTCGTATAATCTTGGGTAGCGATTGCACAATAAAGAGTATATCCTTCAGTATATGGGGAGATCAGTTCTAAATACATATCGAGATCTGACTGGTTTAGTATTTCCAAATTTATATGTAGGTTATGTATGCGCTACAGCCGACGGGAGCAGGTCTAGATTGCATTGATGTGTGCAACAGGCCATTATCTATACCTTCTAGCACCAAATCAGATGTTAATTAATTAAACCCCCGAAACGTGTCAAGTCTTCATCTCTTGTTGCAAATGAAGTCACAAACCGGCAGAGCTGTTCATCGCTACTCAAGCGTAAATCTGGTGATACCGGCCACTCAAAGAATACGACTTGTGCCAGTTCCAGCTCTTCCACCAGCCTCTTCTTTAGCACTGCAAAGACCTCGTTGGTTTGCGGCCTCCTTAAGAGGCGGGCAGATCCTGACCGATCAAGCACCGCCGCCAGGTCAGCAGCAGTCCGGTTTGCATGCAGCGCAAGCTTGAGCCATAACTCGTCTCGTAGGTAAGCCTCGAATTGCGCAGAGACAAATCGCGACTTTGAAAACAGCTGGGCCGCCCTTTTCTGAATAAAGGAGAACTCATGCGCTTTAGCTGGATCGAAAAGGATAACGGCTTCTGCGCACCAACACCCATTCTTGGTTCCGCCAAAGGAGAGAATATCAACTCCTCTCTTCCAAGTCATATCGGCAGGTCGGCACCCTACGGAGACGAGCCCGTTGGCGAACCGCGCTCCGTCCATGTGCAGAGGCACATTGTACTGCTTGGCGATGGCAGAGATCGCATCCAGCTCCTCGAGGGAGTAGACAGTTCCGCTCTCTGTAGGTTGCGTGACAGAAATGGCGCTGAGACGCCCACCATGCACATCCAGTCGAGCTATCCTCTCAGCCTGCCTACGCAGGGCCGCAATGTCCATCTTCCCATCAGGTCCATCGACGGGAACCATTCGTAGTTGACCTGAGAGATACTCGGGCGCACCGCACTCATCCACGATAATATGAGCCTCGTGATGGGCTAGAACCACACCACCGGGCTTCGCGACCGAGGTGAGAGCCAGTGAGTTGGCAGCAGTGCCTGTCGCGACATAGAAGGCTGCGAGCGGGCGCTCGAAAACCTCGCCCAGGCGTTGCTGTACTGCCTGGTCAAAGTCGGAGGTTCCGTAGGGCACAGCATAGCCCGTTGCGTGTGCTGAAAGGTTGGCTGCAATATCCGGGTGCGCACCGGCAAAGTTATCAGAGCCGAAATTCATAATTGGCTTTCTGACATGGAGGGTTGTGATGAGACAATTGCGGTCTTTCTGCGAGCAGAGGGATTTGTGAATGACAACGCCTATCAAATGTTGTAATCTATAAGATGAAGGTATATATCTAAGAGCTTCGATGAGGCCCGCAGATCGGCCGCTGGATCACTGAGGAAGATACTCTATTAGGCAATTTTTTCGTCCATTGTATCCTGGTCATGTAATTGAAGGGCGTAAGACAACAAGTAGACATCTCGTTGGGCGTGGAGGAGAAAACGCTGATTAATTAGGGCTCTAGGTATCTTTTTCCTTGCCACTTCCTACCCAATAGGCAGGTCTAATCTAAGCCTATGGAATCAGCAGGGTTAGCTAAGTCAGATCACTAGCCGGGATGACTGCAATCGCCCAGGACATGGTAGTATTCCATCGCACCTTGATCAAAATCACAGAGCTCGGTCGTACACTTATCCGGAGAATATGGGCAAACTTGAAATTTCAGCTGGAAGTATGGAAATAATGGCGAACTCTCGAAGATGTGTGACCCTACGGAATAACTAAGTTAGAAGCCTAATCCAGTTCGAGAAGCCTGCGCGTACGACGAAGTCCACGTCACCATTTCCCTCTACTAGGCATCCACATAAACACAGCCCACTCGGACGAATAAACTTCTTCATTGTAGTTGGATTCTTGAGGTGTATGAGTTTAACACACTAAATGATTGCCTATTAGCAAGGCCGCGAGTCCATTCATTCATGGGACCCTGTTGCAAAACCCTTAAATGCCACCCACGCCTTTCGATACTATTTGCAAAAATTCATACCCTTGAATTTTGCAAGTTAGCTTCATGTATCCGGCATGGAACCAAATATTTCTAACTGTGCTAGTTTGAAGGGGAAGTCAATCAATCCTTTTTGGGGTAGACCTAACAACAACGCTGCTAAAGAGATCCATCTTCCACTGCAGAATCACCAGCCAGTTGAGGCCTTCTCGATACTCCCTCCTCCCCCAGATGCCAAATTCGTTGTGCGCCCAGAGATCACCGCATGGTTAAAGCAGAAACTTGAGCGGTCTTTAACCCGGGTAGCGCTCGTTGGGCCTGCCGGTGTTGGGTAAGAATGGGTTGTTGTTCTTTACTGCCTGCGTCTAGTATTTGCTCACAGTCGTCTTAGAAAATCACAAATTGCCCTTCAATACGCCCACCAAATTCACAACAGGTCTCCAAACACTTTTATTTTCTGGATTGAAGCTAGTGACAGATCACACTTCGAAAATGCATTTCGGGATATCGCCAGCCGTCTCCAGCTTCCTGGTCATGATGATCCGGATATCGACGCCCTGCCCTTGGTTTCAAGCTGGCTTTCGCAACCAGAAAATGGAACCTGGCTTATGGTAGTAGACAGCGTCGAGAATACGGACGTTTTCTATTGCAGGAAGAATAATCACGCCAGGTGTATTGGGCGGTCGTGCCTTCCAACCAGCCCTAATGGCTCCATCATCTTCACATCCCAGAACCCTAGCTGTCTGCTATTGGAAATGCTGGACGGTGATCTGAAGTTTTACAATGCGACATACAAATTCCCAGTTATGAACATATACCAGGGCTTCCAGCTTCTACGGAACGAGCTTGATGACGGATTAGGGGATAATCCTTCGCGCATGGCTGACCTTGTGTATGCTCTAGGCTGTGAGCCTCGATCTATTGCACAAGCTGCCAAGGTCCTCAATTTTCGTGGCTTGAAGATGTCAGAGATGTCAGAAATGGAAGAGTTCAGAGCTCTGTGGCCGGAAAAGCATAGAAAGGTCGGAAAACACGGCCGTCTTCCCAGAGCATGGCACAGAAACTTTCAACTTCTGCGACATCAACGAAGCCAAGCCGTTGACCTTTTGTATCTGATGAGTTTCTTCAGCGGGCTGCAGCGGAAAATACCAAAACTGGCGTTGGTGTCATTTACGAAGCGACTCGGCAAATTTCAGGATCATGACGAAGAAGCCGTTATTGACTGCTTAGACCAAGAAATTGCATTCTTGAAAGAAAATTACATCCTTACTGAGACGGAAGGTGGTGAGCATGTCATTTTGGCTCCGTTTGTCGGATTCTGCACTCAGATGTGGTTGTTCTATCTCTGCGAACAGGAACGTTGGAAGGGTCGACTTCTCTACTTAATGGCCCAAGAATACTCTAGCGGTGCATGGGACAGCTGGGAACTCTTCGAGAAGCTAGAAGACTGCTTTCAGGCAATTATATCCCTGAAGATATGGTCTAGATTCGATAAACTCAACTCAGCGACCATAACTCTCAGCCTAGCTAATTATAGGTCCAATCAGGGACGGTTCACAGAGGCCGAGTCATTGCTGCGAAGGGTGATTGAGATCAGAGGTCAGTCACTTGGACTGGATGATTTGGGAACAGTCAGAGCAATGGAAAACATCGGGACGCTCTTCCAGGTTCAAGGCAAGTTGGGCGAAGCAGAGAAGACGCTTCGTTTAGTACTTAAGGTAAAGGAGAGAGTACTCGGCAGGGAACACAAGGACACTCTATGCAGCGCTGCTGCAGTTGCCAATGTGTTTCTAAAGCTTGGGAATCTCTTGGAGGCAGAACGACGACATCGCGAGACGCTTGCGACTCGCTTACAGGTACTCGGGAAGGATCATTTTCACACTTTGATGAGCCTCGATGGCCTTGGAGAAGCATTGCGACTTGCCGGTGATCTTGAAGAGTCCGAGAGGGCGCTCCGTCGTGCCGTAGATGGAAAGACGAGGGTCCTCGGCGCGGAGAATCCGCACACTATCTCATCCGTTTATGGTCTTGCAGCGACGCTCATGTGCCAAGGAAAGCATGAACATGCAGAGAAGTTGTATCGACAAGGTCTTGAAGGGTGTGAGAAGGTACTTGGGAGGTATCACCCCACAACTGAGATTGGGATTCATGGCCTGATACATTCTTTGGAGAAACAGCATAAAGATGAGGAATCACAGCGTGTCAAACAGTCAGTCTTCGGGGAGGGCATCGGCGGAGTGGCTGAGTCTGCTAAATTTGTTGGAGAGAATGATACAATTGGCCCTACGCATCGGTGCCATATCGATATTCGTGTTGGGTTGTAGGATATTCAATCTTACTCTTTAATGGCTCTTACTCCGTGTACATATGTAGAATTTAGTACATGCCATCAAACATCCAGAAGCAACGAATATGACCTCGGAACCAATGCATCGATGTTAATTTTACCTGATTCCAGACATTTACAAAGAGGTACACCAAAACTAGATAATTATAGTCGAACCAGGTCTATCAATTTATATTCATGAGAAAATCTATTGCACGGCTATGCTGGGCAGAGGGTAAAAACATTCATCTCAAAATCTGAAGAAGAACCCGCACATACGAATTAAAGAACATATCTGAACTTGGGATTCTAGCGAAAATGTTAGTTATGGGGCGACTCTTTCCAGTATCACGTATCTCAAGAAACTCACCTCAAAATCGGTCAGATCAACACCCTCTTCATCCTCTGGGCCCAACTCTGCTCCCAGTTCCGCGGCTGCCTGGTCTCGCAGCTTGTTTCGGCGGATGAGGAGGAGACGAAGCAAAACAGCCAGCACCATTTGTATCACGGAGCAGGACAGAATGGTTTTGCATCCAGTGGCATAAAGCGGAGCTTCCTCTTCCAAGAACGCATGCGGGCCGATGATGTTTCCAGCGCAGTACGCACTGAAGCAGATGGCTGATGCTGTGATTCACTTGGTGTACCCTCCCAGATTTGTGGCAGGCATCTGCAAAGCGAGGACGAGCGATGCAATGAATGCGGTCATCAGATAGTACCCAAAGAGCACACCAACCATATGCTTGCTTCTATCCAGCTTCCAAACCAGGCAGACACCTAAGATTGTGGGCATCAAGAACACGGCCATAACGATCGTACGGGCGTTCTTGATCTTTGTAGCAAGGAACGCCCCGAAAACAATGAAGCCTGCCAAGAATGCTCCTTGCGGAATACCCAGAGCAGTAGTGAGGAGAGGATCCTTGACGAGGCCTTTGATGATGAGCTTTCCGAAGTTGGCAACGCCGCCGTTCATGACTTCATTAAGCAGAATGAACAAGAAAAGGATCCAGACTTGGGGGTCGACGAATGCCTCCTTAATCTGGTACCACTTGATCTTCTTGTTGAGAACACCCGTCCGGGACTGGCGAGCGCGGGCGACGAGAAGCGCCTTCTCCTCAGCACTGAAGTATTTGGCTGTCATGATGCTGTCGGGCATGAAGAAGAACAGAATCACACCCCAGATAACAGTCATACCTCCGCAAATTAGGAAGATGCATTTCCAGACTGGAAATCCATGGATCTGACCGATTCCATAGCTGAAAATACCACCCAGCATAGAGCCAATACCATTGCAGCAGTAAAAAATACCAGCACGCAGAGGCTGTTCTTGTCGCAGATACCTACGAGGTTATGATGCGTCAGTAAAAGTACTTTGCAATAGATTAAGCTGCGGTTGCACTTACCACTGAGATACCATCATCATAAAGCAGGTGGTGATAGGAGCCTCAAACCATCCCAGGAAGAACCGGCAGGCAGCCAGGCCAGGGAAGTCATGACAGACAGCGGTCAGCATCAACACCGAGCCCCAGGTGAAGACACACCCGGCCACAACTTTGCCCATTCTCGTCTTCTGGGCAACATAGACCCAGGGGTACTCGGCAACCAGATAAGCGATATAGAATATACTGGCAAACCATGAGTATTGTGTTTGTGTGATGTTAGCGCTGGTGAAAAGATCAAAGACTGCGGCGTATCCCATGGCCTGCTTGTCGATATACTGGAGAACGTATGTGCCCGCAAGCAACGGCAAGAGCATCAGATCGACCTTTCGGACTAGTTTGCGTTGTTTTGCTTCGTCCGCAAGCAACTCTTGCAGGTATTCTTCACTAAAGTTGTGCTCGCGTAGGAAGATTTCCGCGGCGTCGAGGTTCTGGATTTCCCCGTCGGTTATGGATCCGGGCTTCTTGGGGTCGGAGAAGTCATGTTTGCCCGTGTCGATCTTGGCCTGAGCCGTGGCAACCTTCGTGTCGGACATCTTTCGAAGATGTCTTAGCAGAACGATTGTGTGAAGTTGAGAAGGGTTTGATGCTCGAATCGGAAGGTTTGACACCTGGGCAGGTGTTGTGAGCTTTTGTACCTGGAGGGCTAAGACATGAACGGCCCGCGACCAGGGGTGACTGCAGGTTGGGAGAGATAACTATCTGGGGCGATGACACGAATCATGATATCTGGCACTAATAAGAGTGGGACAATGATACTACACCCCATAGGATGATAAGGCAAACTACAGCGTCCAGGTCTCTCTAGGTGCCGGATGTGGAGTTGATGGACAGTGTTAACTGAAAATGGTTCCCGGCCAAAGCAATCCGGGGAGACTGTTGCGTAAAGGAAACATGGAGAATGCGGGGAAGGCTTTCAATTAGCCTATGAGGTTCTTGCAAGTTGATGCCCGAGAACACCCTGCTCGAGTTCCCTGGCACCATGCTTCAATACACGTACTCAGTCCCCCATTAGCACACAGAGACAGGAGATGTTAGTCAGAGCCTCTCCAAAACATCCCCCCAAAAATGCAGCATCATGCTAAAAACTCGATAATCTGCCTCACGGAGAGATAAGTGACACACATGAGTAAGGCTGGAGAACGAATCAGGGCCCTAGTATGACCTATCAGTTGCTGCGAGATAAGCCTCTTGTTTTGTCCCCGCAGCCGATTCCGAGGCCAAGGCCAGCCCCTCTCGGATGCCAGTTCTGACAGCCGTATTCCACAGTCAAGATGGACTAGCCGCGGCGCTGTTCCGACACCGGGAGCAGGCGGGCGTTGGAGAAATTAAGGCCTTGCATCATCTCCTCCAGCGAACATTGGACCCTGTCGGCATGGAGCCGACAAACATGTCCGAGGCATATTACAAAATATTACTCTTTCTGCACTTATTTGATTCTACCAAGAGCTGGTCAATTGAGTGTTGAAAGCCTACTTGGCTCGTCTCGTTGCATTTGAAGGCCCATCTCTACCAGCATATCCACGCTTTTTACCGTACGGAGCCCCCAGTTTCTTCAGTCATCATGAGCGACCAGGCCAGTGATCGTCCCAAGGTCCAGTTATCACAGGGCCTTGTTGTCGGTCTCACCTTGAAAGAAGGCCTGCCTCGCGCAGTTGATGCATTCCGTGGCGTCCCATATTGTCTTCCTCCGACCGGCGACAGGCGCTTCCGAGCCGCAGCAAAGGTGCCAGACTCTCCAGATTCAGTAATAGATGCTTCAGCGTATGGCCCAGCAGCCCCCGGGAAGCCTCTGTTAGCAGGGGGCCCCAAGCTCAAGTATAGCGAAGACTGCCTCACTGCCAATGTATTCCGTCACCAGGGGGTGAAGGAGGGTGCTCTACTTCCTGTAGCGCTCTACATTCACGGCGGAGCGTTCAATCGAGGCACAGCAAGCATGCACAATACTGCATCTATGGTTGCTAACTCCGAAGAGCCTTTCATCGCCGTTTCGTTCAACTACCGCATTGGCGCCTTGGGATTCCTGCCCTCGACCGTCGCTGCGAAGGAGGGGGTTCTCAATCTCGGTTTGAAGGATCAAATTGTGATGATGGAGTGGGTGAGAGACAACATCAAAAGTTTCGGCGGCGACCCAAATATTGTCACTCTCATTGGCCTTTCGGCTGGTGCGCACTCAGTTAGTTGCACTCAGTCATGAGAAACACAATTTTGAGTGTGATAAACTAACCTTAACTTGTGAAGATTGGACATCACCTCATGAACTTCAAAGAAGGAGAGGCGCCTCTTTACCACCGCGTCGTCATCGAATCCGGCGCACCGACTTCGAGGGCCGTACGTCCATATGACGCCCCAATTCACGCTCAGCAATTCCAAGATTTCCTCCAAGAATTAGGATGCCCCAAGGAAACACCAGAGGATAAAGTTCTCACATTCTTAAGAAGTGTGTCATACGATGCCATTACCGCCGCCCAAACAAAGGTTTTCGACGCGTACAACCCGTCTCTCCGATGGGCATGGCAACCTGTCATTGATGGAGACACAATTCCTCGACCACCCTTGGAAACATGGAAGTCAGGGGAGTGGCACAAGGTCCCGATCATGACAGGATTCTGCCGAAATGAAGGCTCTTTGTATGTGGACAAGCAGATGTCCGAGCCATCGCAGTTCACATCATTCTTCGCTGAGCTTCTGCCTCTTCTGAACGAATCCGAAATCAAAATCCTTGAAGATCTTTATCCAGACCCTTCCAAGGATCCGAATTCATACTACAAGGAAACAAGAGAAGGAGTAGGAGCTCAGTACAAGCGAGTTGAGGCTGCGTATGCCAACTACGCATACGTAGCGCCAGTTCGACAGACTGCAGAATTTGCATCTGCCGCGAGTGATGCTCCAGTATATTTATACCAATGGGCATTGGAGTCTGGCGTCATTGACGGTGCTCGCCATGGAGACAACATGAAATATGAGACTGTCGACCCCAGCGTAGCAGATCGATCCGAGTCACTGAAGCTCACCGCCCAAACGACCAATGACTACATTGTAAGTTTTGTCATTATGGGAGATCCAAATGCCGTCAAGGGAGGAAACCCAAACCGGCCAATTTGGGAAAGATATCGGCCGGATGCACCCAAAGCCATCGCGTTTGGTGCTGAGAACAAGGAGCTTGTTGGCGGTTCTTCTGGTCCCCCAGCTGCTCTGTTAGATGATACTTGGATGAAAGAAGAATCAGTGTTCTGGTGGAGCAAGGTTGAGCTATCACAACAATAGATACGAATCAAGAAATCACAAAATAGAATCAATTGAATCTTATCGGGATTGATATGTAGTGAGGCGTTGTCGGAATCGGGTGAACCGTAGACGCATGCTTGGCTGAGATCCTCCTCTGTAGCCTTGAGGGTGCTCTTGTCTTGGGCGAGAATGGGAGCCCATTGTACCAAGAGAAGCAGCTTTGCAACCACCTCGATGAAGCACGAGCTAAGACTATCTCTCTAGGTTTTATATCGTTGTAGTTTACTCTCCTCTGTGACTAGCATGAACATCCAATTCCTGTCTTCTTGGTCTAAATCCTTGGAACTCCCTCTCTCTAGATCCAGATGGGCACTTTTCTTACCATTCTTTGTTCTCTTGGTATCTGATGGCCGCCAATCTATTCCATCCTACTAATCACAGTTTCCCATCATTATTCTTGATGTAAATACCATCACAGCAACGGACTAGCCCCGGTAGATGATCTCATAATCCTTCCTGTTATCAATCAACAAACAACGTTCTAGATCTCATAGGTATTCCTTGGCAAGCAAGGATGACAGGAAGATTAATGATTCAGTCCAATAACTCACCCTATCGTGCCCTGTCTATCATGCAATCCCAAACCACCAGCTCGGGTCGGATGCTATCTTGTCTGCGTCCAGGGTAAAGGGGCATCTGGGTCCCTAGCATGACTCGAGATCCACTGATAATGACAAGGATTCATCAAGCGCTCTGATATCGGAGCACATTTTTGACGGCCGTGATCGGTGAGAGCCGGCAACACTAGCCGGTATTTGCGGGGCAGAACAGGACATACCTTCGAAGCGAGACAAACACAGGCCATTCAGTCGGATAAAGGCGCTATATAAGCTCATCAAATCAGAAGCTCATCAGCCCAAACCAAGGAACAAGTGAACTAGAATTAAGCACAAGATGGGCGAAACAATTGTTGTCATAGGGTAAGCAGACATTTAATGCCACAAAAGCATGGCGAGTTTTCATTTAACAACATGAAGGTTCTCGACTGACTGACATTAAACAGAGCTGGCGTTACGGGCCTGACAACTGCCCTGCTACTATCCAGAGATAAATCTAACAAGGTAACAGTCGTGGCAAAACACATGCCCGGGGATTATGACATTGAATATGCCTCGCCGTTTGCTGGTGCCAACATCCTGCCGTGAGTCTATTTGCAAAACATTCAGTTGGTAACACAAGCATAAGGCTGACTTTCCCTTGGCAGTATGGCAACCAAAAAGGACAAGAGTTGGGAGACACGCACATGGTATGAAATGAAACGTCTATGTGAAACTGTGCCCGAAGCCGGAATTCATTTCCAAAGTATGATGATTCACCACACAATCGGAAAAGAGTGAAACTCACATATGTGTAGAGTGCACACTACTGCGACGAGAGAAGGATAACAAAAACCAAGTATTTCCCGAAGGCCTCTTTGATCCTAACCCCTGGTTCCGCGAGCTCTACGACGACTACCGCGACCTGCCCAAGAATGAAATCCCCGCCGGATTCGACTCTGCCTCAGACTGGACGAATGTGTGCATCAACACCGCCATCTATCTGCCCTGGCTCGTCGGACAACTTCTGAAGAATGGTGCTGTTCTGAAACGAGCCAACCTGTCCCATATCGAAGACGCTAAGAGTCTAAGTCACACCGGGAAGCCAGCTTCTCTCATCATTAACGCTACCGGCCTCGGATCACGCAAGCTTGGCGGCGTAGAGGATACCAAGATGGCGCCTGCGCGTGGGCAGGTTGTCATTGTCCGTAACGAAGCGCCTATGACGGGCCTCTCTGGAACCGACGATGACCCCAACGATGCATGTTACGTCATGACTCGGGCCGCTGGAGGAGGAACAATCCTCGGCGGGACATATCACATTGGCAATTGGGAATCTCAACCGGATCCCAATGTGGCCCAGCGCATCATGTCACGCGTAGTCAAGCAGCTCCCTGAGATTGCTGGTGGCAAAGGCGTTGCAGGTCTGGACGTTATTCGTCATGCCGTTGGCCTGCGGCCGTACCGCTATGGGGGTGTGAGGATTGAGAAGGAGAAGCTGGATGATCAAACGTGGATCATCCATAATTACGGTCACGCAGGCTGGGGTTATCAGGGCTCATGGGGCTGTGCGGAAGACGTCGTCGACCTGGCGAAGAGTATTCCGAGGCCTACCAAGGCAAAGCTTTAGATTTCTTGTACACAATTATACATGGCGTTTGGTAATCCACGGCAACTTACGAGACACGATTTGTATTACATGTTTCCTGCTGTAATTTCCATAGTTCTTTATCTATCTCATCAAAGTCAACGGGTATGGCTTTGTTACGTATGCCAACAAGCTGAAGATATGATTACCCCACTCCTTCTCCACCATGTTCGTGTTATTCCCGCAGATTCCGAATCGAGGGGCCCCAAAAGGATGATGATTCGGGTTCCCCAAAAAAATTAAAAAGAAAATCTCGAGAAGCGGATTCGAACCGCTGACATCCAGATATGCTTTCAAGCGATTACAGTCTGGCGCCATAAACCAACTAGACGACCTCGAGGTTTTAGTTGAGATCAACCTCAATTTTTTAGTATAGTAAGGATAATACACACTCGAGACCAACAGTACTCTTGACAACTGGACTGAAAACATTCACGAAGAGAGCATCTATAATCTTCTCGAATTGAGATATTCACTAGCCATCAGAAATCTGTACACCCAAAATTATTTCTAGACTGTTCAATCAAGGGGCGTCATATTTGTACTTTAGGACGCCGCAAAGTAGCATCCGTGGACGTATGGCCCGGAAGTGACTGGGATTGTGAGTGAGGTTGCGCCTTTTGCGGCTGCTAATGGTGAATAAAAGCAGAAACAAAAGATTAATCGAGACAAATAATCTCGTTAGGCAGTAGATTGGTAGAGGTAGCCTGCAATCTACGTGCTCTACGCAATTCTATTTCCATCTAACCCATCCCAGTACAAAGGCTTTCATAGGTAACATACGACTTATTCTCAAACTTGCAGTATTAAAAGCACCAGGGTATATATCGCCGAGAATAACGTGACTCCAAAGACAACACGCTGCTTTACCGATGTTCAGATGGCTGGGTGGATGCTACCGTCTTGCGTCCGCCAGGAAGACTACCCAACAAGAAGGGATGCAGCCATCGGAAACTACCGGCACCAATCTCGCCATGCTTGATGTGAAATAGTTCAACCAATTGCTGCCTTTTCATCTGGGCTTTTATTCCCCATTCGTATAGACTGTGAGTGTCCTTATCTTCTAACAGAGAAGGTAGGCCGTCTTGTACCCATGGCTCAAGCAGGGCGAACTGGACATGAGAATAGGCCAAACTAAACAGAGAAATCTCGTCAGCTGATGCATTGGAAGTTAGCTTAAAGGGCCCTGTATCAGCTCACTGTATGCGAAAGTAGTGGATTGATTCAGCATTGGAGTTCTGAATTTCGTTTGGGAGAGCGCCAAACCAGAACCGAAGCCGTGCACAAAAGGTCAAGATTTGCTGCTTGGCAAGAGTACTGGTCTTGGGATACTCGGTCCCTCTAATTGAACCTGTGAGATTGATATCGTTTAGAATAACGTTGAGTAATGCAACGGCTCTAAACGTCATGCCCAGATAAAGTGGCCTAGTGGGCTCTATCTCTGGATTCCCCAAGAACATCTCACCAGTCAAACCACCCACGGATGCGTAATTCGGTAAGGTGGTGACGGGAGGCTCTGTGATAAGGGGTGGCATGAAATTGTAGAAACAATATGTACTAATACCAAACCCCGCGATCATCGGTCAGCCTCTCTATACCTGGTAATACATTGAAAAGGGGGAGAAAGGGGGTGTTCAATTAACCTTTGCCAGCTAAATAGGCTCCAGGAAGTGAATTTTCGAGCCACTCCAGTGGCTGTGCATTCATCGTCACTGGCGGTGAACAGTTCCAATTGCGCAGCCATCGCGACTGCTCGAGATAGAATATCGGACGCAATATCATTTCGCATCACTGTGGCGTGATACAAGCTGAGAATCTGTGCAGCTTGGATTGTGGTCAACTTGGGCTCATTCAGATCCTCGCTCTCCCATATATGCATTGCTTGAGTGAGGAACGATTCAGAGAGCGAAGCCAGCTTGAAGCCCTTGGATATTAGGGGACCGCTAGTGTACGTATTCTACATATTTGAGAGTATAAGCAAGATGATCTTTTTGGCTAAAGTGGATGAAAAGGCCCCAGATTGAATGAAGACCTTGTGGTGTAGTCTTACGGCGGCCATTGCGAGAATGGCGTTGACAAGTAACGGTGAGCAATTTTTGACCTCGTACCCAGCAGGCTGATATCCATCCGACACAAGATCTTCAAGGAACAGATCCTTTTGGAATGGTACACTAATGAGATAGCCCTGCTGGAAGTAAGATGCCAGGAGTTCGGACATCAGAAGGGTATCAATCGGTACGGATGTCCACAGGGAAACAGTGACATCCTGTATTCTCGGTTCTGCCACTGGTAAAACATTCCGAGACCAAGGCACTCTTAATTGAACGGGCACCATTGGAAATGCTTGGCTGTGGGCAGGAACATCAGGAGGTATCGATGCGGGGGTTAGAACAAGAGGGTCATAATAGGACAAAGTTGCGGCTGGCTGCTGGAAGGTGGAGAGGTCAACAGGAAGCTGATTTAGCAAGGTTAGGAAGCCGGTTTGCGGACTGCTCGCTATCTGCTGCTTGAGATTACATTCGATGCACTGGGTAGTCAGCTCTTTGCGCCCCAAACACGTGAAATGGCAGATAGTAGGCACCTACGTCAACCTGGAATCCCTGGGGAACGCACTTGGCGCATGGCAGAGGGACCGCATATTCTTCAGGGGAGTCGTGCAAATATGGAGGACCCTGCATCTGCGAATAGGATAAGGGGTACAGGTTCAAATTGGATCTTGAAGAATACCGGTAGATGAGACAGGGCTACTGACTACATGTACCATAGCCGTTGCCCTTGAAGAAGGTCCTTAACCAGCAAGGGGAAATGTTACTTAAGAGGGCGTACTTCGGGTTTTATATGCCACCGCTAATTGCCAACTTGTGATGGGAGAAAATTTCCGCATCACGTTGGGCTTATCATCTCAACTCCATGGTGGGTGTGAACACTAAACATAGGCGGGTGATCTGCTCCGCATGCTTAGTTGGCCTAAGTATGGAGTCAATCCCATAAAATACAAAAGCCTCCCGGAGCTAATCCGCCGCCGGAGAGAATTCAACAAGCATGCAAGTGTTGCATTTTTTCTCTAGGGTCCAGACCGCCGCTGTGTTGCGGGGTAGCCGCATGATGTGGATGGGCCGCCTAATCGATTTGTTGGATGTCGATACGTGGTTGAGAAGTGCTTTTTGCGTCTGCTTGCAGGGTCTAGACCTTTCTCTTGGCTCATGGCGATATCCGACTGCACCCTCCAAGCCAAGCTGACTCATTAGACTGATTTACTCTCTCGAATCGATAGGTCGGAATGAATTCAGGGAGACATCTAGGTGAAGGTGCTCTAGCTCTGTGTAACATGAGAAACTACAGCGAGGTATTTTCTCTATGTACGAACGATACTTGGAGACCAGAAGGGCGTCATTTTACATCGAATTACAGGTGTAATTCCGGTGAGTGGCGAAGTTGACCCTCCTCGTAGAGTATTGATCAACGATACCTGAAGAATCTCCTTAAATGGCCTACGCACAAAGTATCTCTTAGTCTCGTTTCGTTAAGTCGGTCAGTACCCTGTAAGTGACTCGCTGTAGCTTCCGTTTCTTTGAAGGTGATAGATGATTAGCGAGCCTGAGTCATTGTTCCAATCGCTACCTGACGGAGCTTCTCCTCCAACCCCCTTGGGCCTTGGCTGCATGGGCTTTGCCTACCTGGTTACCTAATCAACAAATCTACCACTGTTGCCATGTTCTAGAACGTCTTGAAATGGCTGCAGCTGCGGATTTACTATTCCAGGATGTGTGGGCTGGCTCATGCTAGTCGGGCATCTCTCAGCCCCTTTCCCTTCCCCTACTCTGCGCTTCACGAACAATGCCAGACCGAAGAGACTCGGGGTTAATCGCTCACTAAACCGTGCTTTTTTCCCCAGTCCAACACGGTCCAGATTCCCATTATTTGTCCAGCTCACTCACGGCAAACCCTTTAATTGGCGGGGAAGGGGATCCATGAAGCCCCAAGCACCAGCTCCGTGGAACCGGTGTCGTTTGATATTTATTCCCTGGCGACCGCCGTTTTTAAAATCAGCCGAAGCCAAGCCGTTGCTTTGCATCTGCCGTGCTTGCAAAAGAGATCAGCACCGCCTCAAAGAAAGTCTAGGCGCGACTGACTTTTCCTTGTTGCAGGTACTACCGCCCAAAGTTTATTTTGTCGGCGCTTAAATAATTCCCTTATATTTTCCCGTTCAACTTGACGTTGTAATCTGCAAGTATTCCGCATCCATAATTAATAAGTAGATTTTCTGAGCGAGAGGCCAAACGCCAATGGCAAGTCCAGCATTAATCATCAGTATTCTTCCATCCCCGAAGAAATGACAAGGTGCGCCCTTGGTTCGCCCTGAGTTTTGTTGTTGCGGACATCGCATTTCGTGCTCCGGCGCCATATCTCCATATTGAAGTTTTTGCAGCTTTAGTAAAATCAATGTATGAAGCAATCATCTGCATGTGAAAACCCTACATGTAGATAGCAAATATTTACAAATTATATTCAGAAATTAATTTCAAGACATTCTTGGGGTTCAATATGCTTCTGATCGCAGCCTATTGTGAAAATGGTACACAAAGAAATCTTGTGCTTCAACATCAAGCTTCAATTTCACCCACTCGGACTGGCTGGGGGTTTCCACCCAGACCACCTACCATCAGCCAAGCCAACGAGAAAGGTCTACATATCAATAGTTAGATATCGTCATTTCGCCCACATTTGTAACAGATAGGCCGTGACGTGAACTGCGGTCCCCAGATACAAAGCGTACATGTCAACGTGAACTAACCATTGTACTCTGGGGATGTATTCTATCCTAGATGCAATCCATTACACACTGAAGATATCAATGAAAATCCCAGAAAAGTACTCAGAGAAAAGATAAGTTTCAATATAAGGAGCTCATAGCACTCCATGTAATTAAAGACTCTATAGAGAGAACTTGAACTGACTTTCTTGTTGTCAAACCAGAACTCCATCACCAACAACATTTAGAATACACCCATCGAATTCCTAGAAACTTTATTGGCTCTAGGCAATATAATAAGATGTCATAAAATATTTGGGGTTGGGCAATAAGCGGTTTTGAGATTCCTCTCCCCAGGCCTTGCTGGGTGCCTTCGTTCGTACCATTAGAGCGCATACGTACTCTGTTTCTCTCGATTATACTTAGCAACTCATCGGATCTATTTAAATGGGTTACAGAACAAAATCAAAATATGAACACAACATACTAGCAACTTACAGATTGGGGCTACATGCGCCTCTTCCAGTTTGCTTCGTTTACTAGGTCACATCATTGACGGAAATTTGTTCAACATATTTTGAATTTCAGTAACAAGAAACCCATAAAATTCAATGAAATGTTTCCCTGAGTTTAGCGTAAATCTTTGGCGAACGAATATGTCCCAAATATATGGCACGAAAGATTGTGTACACGATGGTCATGGCCGTAAACACCAAACACACGGTGCTCAGGCCAGTCATGACGTGCAACTTCTGCCGCGCCGCCCAATTTCCCACCAAGCGGTGTCGACCATCCACCTCGACGTCGCACCACACGATATTCAGCCACTTCCCGAAGCCGCTGTCTGTAAGCACAGAATCCCACTCCCTGGCGTTGGCGCACTTGAACCAGGCAGCAGGGTCGTTATCTCGCGGGATATAGACGACTTTGATGTTCCAGTATGACAAAATAGCTATTGCGGCAATAAAAGCGAGGGCACAAATAGTGTCGGCGGCGATGACAGCGAAGATGTTGTAGGGGAGGGGGAGAAACTTGGCCACGGTGACGTAGACTTGCACGCCCGTTGCGACGGCGCCGATGATGATGGTGACGAATTCGGCCGTGACTTTGCGTAATTGCTTCGGTTCCATGGCGCCGTAAGCCATCATAGCGATTAAGGTGCTGAAGGTGAAGAGACGGAAACAGAGCGCGCCGCTCTTTTGCTGCCTTCTCAACCCCATGGTGTATGGAAGAACTCGGCGTCAGAGACCAACTTCAGAGCCACGGCACTGGATATGCTAAATGAATATAAAGCTCCAGATGAATCCGCCAAATGCCGCGAAGCAACGATCAGGTGCCAAGCTCCCATATTAATACAAAGAAGCGGGAGAGGATCCTCGAGGGCAACAGTCTCAGCTAAGGCGGAATTAATGTGGGATTAATGGGTGTCTGTCAACTTTCCACCAAAACCGGGCGCGTTGTACAGCCCCAGAAGACCTTCTTTTCTACAAGAACGCTGCCGTTAATTAAATCCCCACTGGCCTGACTGCACATCCTTCCTTGATCAGTACAAAACCCGGCATCCACTTGTTAGGATTCACACGAAAGACCAGAAAAGGGACCCTGTTAATGAAGATAAGAGCGGCAGCACTTCCGCAGTGGCGAAGCCAGACAGCCCGACACACGCATCGCCGCTTTCAAGAGCCTTGCATCTGTCATAATGTCACGGCCCATTGAAAACGCCTCTCCCGCTCCTTGACAGAGATAAGCCGTTCTTAATTAAGGCATTCTTATGTGGGTTCCCCACGTTCTCTCAAACCCGTCACTCACTGGCTGGTTGCTCTTTTTTTTTGAAGAGCCCATCCCCGAGCCACGGGACAAAATGCATCCAGTGTTTTGAAGCCGTCTTCCTTGGTGAAGGTGTCTCGGCTTCATTTTACATCGTTAGCCTACCCTAGCACCGGAGCCAGACACCCACGTATTAAGTTGATAGCTACCATAGGGAGTGCTAAAAGTAAAAGATGTAATGCAAATTAATTCCCTTTACCGTGAAACTCTTACAACAAGACTCGCAGTATAAGTTCTACAACAACGGATGGCGAGTGTGAATGAGTTGGACATAACCCCGATCTCATGTTGAGAAATACTTATATGTGACATGAGAACTTCACAAATATAATCAGAAGATTTGGTTTAGGGACTTGATTTGGGTTATAATAGAAATATGTTCCCATGGCCAGCATGGAGAAAAAGTAAAGTCGGTGTATGATTTCGCCTGCCGTTCGTTTCTCATCTCTATCCATGGTGATCCATCGGTTTGACTCCATATCCCAGTTGAAAAGGTGAGTTATTTCCTCATTAGTTTCCAAGTTTTCCAAAAATCCAATTAGCTCCGTATACCCGATTTGTTAATATCATGGTCATTTTGCCAAATGACTGCAAATTCTAGAGAGAAAAAAAGCCAACCCAGGATGTGTGTTTCTCTAGGGCTGGACTCATACGATTGAATCCGACTTTCTGCTTGGTGTGTCTGTTCGGGGCGCTTGCTGCGCTTCCGCAATCAGTGCGGCATCATCACAGCCAGTTAATATACTTTCGCCGTCGCCTCTTTGTTTAGACGAGGTGTTGATTCGGATTGCCCTCGTCATCAGGATATCGCCACGACCGGGCTCATTGTGGGCTGAGCGGTGATACTGGTTTTGATACTCGTGTCGTGCAAAGTATGATGACCCTTTGATCTTTTTAATATAAAGGGCATTGACAGCTGGCAAACACGAGCATATAAGCCCAAGGCCAACTTCGGCATTTCTATATATTAATGATCAGTTGGAATGTCAAGATTATAGTAGACCGCCAGAGAACTCACCCTGAGAGAATGACCTTGGTAAAAACAATGCTTTGATTCTGGGAGTTCGCTTCAGAAAGGATGAGAACCAATCGGTAAAGACTAAATGCAGTTGCAACACCCCCGGCGCACAGCATAGCAATTACTCGAAGCCTCTTCTTCAATGCAAGCTGCAGGGACCAGGTGAGGGGCGTAGGGAGCAGAAGGATAGCCAAGTCACTTATTGCGCTAATGATGGCGTCCGCAGTGATGATGGCACTTTGATTCATGCATTTCTCCCGTTCACCACGCCAATATGCACTGATAGGCCAGCATATAAAGATCTTGATGAAAACCCCCGAGACGTAGTAGGCCACGATCCCCCCAATGAGAACGCGGATTCCCCACATTGTCTTCTTATGAACGCTACCGAAGACGCGGGCAATGAGGAGTAGAAGTGAAAGTTTGACGCAAAGAGTCATGGGCGCATAGAATATGGTGGCTGCATATCCTGCCTACATCGTCGATTCAGGGGGTCAGTTGGTGTCAAATAGGCGCGAGACGGGGCTGGGAAGCACCAAATTCATCTTACTTTGTAGAAATACTCTATTTCCTCCTTCCTCACCTCCCACTGGTTATGGCCAGCGCCATATACCCCAGCTAATATAATGGAAAGTCAGTACAATGATATTTGTGCGGGGACTGGATGTGGCCCAGGAGCTTACCGAGGCATGCTGTGACACAGTAGCCAACCAAAAGAATCTGCTTCTCAGTCAGCCTGTTCAATTAAATGGGTTTTTCTTAGGAAAGCATACGTAGGCAAAGTATGTAGTGTCTGCAAAATCAATACGTTAGTCAACTCCGATCAGCCAGCGCTCTTGCAGGCCACACATACAATCATCCCATGTAAACTTGCCGTCAAACAGCTTGTGTTTGGCGTACAGTCGAACAAGAGCAAAGATAGTTACAAGAAAAATGGTGAGTCCCTGGGTCACAAAGTTGCATGTCCAAAGAACGTCTTCGGGGTTTTCTAAGTCTGGCTCAACGCCGTCTGGAGGTGCGCCGGCACCAGGGAAGCTCATAGTCACTCACTTAGTGGCAGCAGCGAAGTCTGAAAACTTCCAGGTAATGAGTTATGATGAAAACACAAATTCTTGAATCAATGAACTAGAGACTACCTTAATAAATGTTTAGTGGCTTGCAGACAAGCGAGCGCCTCCCTGATGGCGGCAGCGGGATCTTCCCGGCGTGCATCAAACCTAGCCAACATCGTATTTGGCACCCTCGTATGATTTTTCCCCAGGAAAAAGGAAAATGGGAAAGAAAACGCATGTCCAGCTCATGGAGATTTTCATTTCAAAAGGACAAGTCGGGGAGTTTCCAAAACTGTTATTGTGAGAGGCCCACAGGTGTCATGCAACCAGAGCTGTTTTTCCTCGTGCGTCTCCGGGTTTATGCAGCGTCTTATACCTTCTGCTGGTTGGTCTCTATGGCTGAAGGTGGGGTCTATGTTGAGAGCCTGCAGATGCAAAACGGGTCACTCAAAAAAGCAAAACTATATGACAATAGCAAAAGAAGCCACCCCAATACCACTTGATGACCAACCACAACCGGCTATGGGGTTGACTGACGGCAACATGACGCGACATTAGTGGCAATGTCGATTGACATCGACCATTCAGGTTCTGATTCGCGTGTGGGTCTCATATGATGCATGCATGAGACAATATTCCGCACACGACGTTAACTGTCAAGGTGACAAGCTGCAGCAGAGTGTGTAGCACGAAAGCCACCACCATCATCATCTGTCAGCCTCTCGTACTAACAACGAAAGTCCCCCGTCAGCTTCCAGGGTTACGTGTGATGGAAGCAGGGGGAGCAACTGTTGGGAGGCATTACGTGCAACCCCAACGGTCTCAGATCCTCCACTCTTCTCCAGGTGGACAGAGACAACAGAGACAGTTGGCTCAATACCCGGCCCGGGATGGAGACCTGGTATTATAACATGATCCGGTCTGTGTATCTCCATTCCTCCTCCATAATCGTACAGTTCAATACGTGCCCCAGTTACTTTCCAGTTAATAATCTATGTACAGGATAATGGCCCGCTTCAGAAGGAGACCTAAGCGAGAATGCTTTTATATAGAAGCCGGCGCTCGCAATTTTGACTTATGTGGTGTTTCTGCTCTTCCTTGACGGCTCAAAGTGCCTGTAATATATGCATACGTACACTAGCAGCTGAACCGGCAGATCCATTCTCGTTTCTTTTGCCTTGCCTCTTAGACGTACAGGCAAGTCCCACTCGCCATTTACAAATCAGCCGTGCATTTGTAGCCGCAGTAGAGTCTGCCCAAGACGCATCCGGATCCACCGCAGCCGCCATGAGCCAGTCTATCCCAACCAGAGTCGCGTCCAAGCTCTTTGAGCCCCTGGCGATCGCTAATGGAAACATCACTCTCAAGCATCGAGCCGTCTTTGCGCCTTTGACAAGAAACCGAGGAACGCCACTCAACCCTAAATCCACCGCTGAAGACCCGAACCGCGTCTGGCTTCCCAATGACCTAATGGTAGAGTACTACACGCAGCGCGCAAGCGATGGTGGACTCATCATTTCCGAGGGTCTACCCCCCTCGCTTGAGGTGAGCGCTCATTCGTCAATCATATGCTTTCTTTTTTCTTGCTTTTTGTGACAACACCTGCAACAAAAGAAAGGAGCACGAAATCGTCACTAATACTTTCCTTTCCAGGGAAACGCTATGCCCGGCGTCCCTGGGATCTTCCTACCCGAACAAGCTGAGGGATGGAAGCGAATCGTCGATGCCGTCCACTCCCGAGGTGGCTACATCTACGCCCAGCTATGGCACTCGGGCCGTGCCAACATCCCGCAGCTCACGGGGACCCCAATCGTGTCCCCTTCCGCAGTGACGTGGGATGATCCAGAGGAGTGCTTCGCGTACCCGCCGCCACACAGCACAACCAAGGTCAAATTGTCCGAGAACCCGCCGATCGAGTTGACTGTGGAGCATATCCAACGAACGATCAAAGACTATTGCAATGCCGCGCAGAGAGCGATGGACGCTGGGTTCGACGGCGTTGAAGTTCACGGGGCAAATGGCTACCTTCCCGAGCAATTTCTTTCCACCAACGTCAACAAGCGAACAGATGACTACGGCGGGACGGTAGAAAAACGGTGTAGATTCCCCCTGGAATTGATGGAAGCTCTCGCAGAGACGGTTGGGCAGGAGAATCTTGCCATTCGCCTGTCTCCGTTCGGGCTTTTCAACCAGTCCCGAGGGAGCGAGCGGGTCGAGACATGGAGCCACTTATGCCGTGAGCTGAAGGCTCGTCTTCCTCACTTGTCGTACGTCAGTTTCATCGAGCCGCGCTTTGAGCAAATCTATTCTCTCGAGGAGAAAGATGAGTTCCTTGCATCTTGGGGCCTTGCAACAGTTGATCTTTCCATTTTCCGTGATATCTTTGGTGACACACCATTCTTTTCCGCGGGCGGGTGGAATGACACCAACTCTTGGGGTGTATTGGAGAGTGGGAAATACGACGCTTTGGCGTATGGCCGTTTGTTCACCAGCAATCCAGACTTGGTTGACAGGCTGCGCAACGGATGGCCGCTTGCCCCATATGACCGATCCAGGTTTTACGGTCCGTTTGAAGACCCTGCGATTGGATACACGGACTACCAGGAATTTGCTTCAACGAAACCAGAAGAGCCGAATGTCGAGAAGAAGTCATTCTCATTGCGACAGATATTCTCCAGGTTGGTGAAGCGGTTCCGGTCAGGTTCGTATGTTTAGTCTAGATGTATGATATGAGATTTCCTATTGTAAAAATCTGAACAACATTCTCCAAAATTAGTTCAGCAAGTTTTCTCATCACGAGCTTCAAGTAAGTCTATGTCAGTCATTGACCTCAAGCTAAAATATCAGTAAGTATATGAAAGCTAAGTAATTGCCTATCTGAGGGTAGCGTTAGGCTCCCACTTAGGCGCCGTTGCCATCCCTTACAAAACCACCATTACCTTTCTTGGGAAGAAACGGTGCATCTGATCGAGGCGATTTGTTGTGAAAAGTCCCAGGAGTCTTCTAAGGTGCTAGTTTGTTGAAAAAGATTCGATTTTGGTATGCCTGCCAGCATAGAAACGAGCTTTATCGGGGGGGG